AGGGAGAGGAAACCCCCGCTCGCGAGCCCGGGGGAGGCCCCGGCAACGTGGGGTGCTGACGCAGGGCCTGCGCGTGGGCGGCTGCGCGTGAGGCTGTGTGCGTCTGTGGGCGCGGTTGCCGGGGCCTCCCCCGGGCTCGCGAGCGGGGGTTTCCTCTCCCTGTTGCCAAGGAAACAAACAAGCGCCACAAGCCCGGGGCCGGGGCCGGAGCACAGGGTCCCCAGGCCCCGCACCGCTACACGCTTCCGGGAAGTGAGGCAGAAGAGGATTCCCTCTCACCCGCCCCTCGCCCCGCAGCCGGCCAATCGCTGCTGGGGCCCGAAACTGGGGGGTCAGCGGCCGGCAGCCGTGACTTGGGCGGGGGGCTTTCGGTGCTGGCACCAGGCCGACCGGGCAGTCGGTCTCCCTACATGCTCCTCTTGTGGTTGCGGGGAGGCCCTATTTTGAAAAGTGTGAAAATACCTTTTACAAATTGTCCGCGACTATGTGACCACCTGGGCAGGCCCCTCCAAGCGTCTTGGAAGCTCCACCTTCCTGCCTGTCCCAGCCCCCAAGCCCCTCCGGGTCCCCTCGGAAGGCTCCCCAGGGCCCTTTAAGTGGGGGAGGGGTGGGGGGGGTCTACTGGTCAAGTTAACTGTGGCAGGGAGGATGCTGGTTAAAGTGCAGATTTCCTTATGGGTGGGGCAGAGCAAGGGGCACTCGCTGCAGAAGCGGTGGGGCTGCAGGGGGGGCAGGTGAACCGGGCGGAGACCAGGAGCGCCAGGAGGGAGGCCCCTAGGGATTGGGAATGGACTGTCTTGGGCCCGTGCTCCCCCACTCACGGCCTAGAAGCCAGAACTTCAGAGCTGGGAGGAGTCTTAGGGCATCATCCAGGCCAACCCCTCTTTTCTAGCCCTGCCTTGGTCCAAGTGCCCAAATTCCCCCATGGCGCTCTCCCTAAGCTAGCCCACGGGCCTGCCGCGCAGCGCAGTACGGGCCTCTATACCCAGTAAGTCCACAGATTTCAGGGCACCCTGAGAGCCCACCTCATTTTGGCCCTGGACCCTCCCCCCAGGGGCTCTTCATCACAGGGACAGGTAATGGGGAAACCACTGGAGGAGGGGGTAGGGCAGCAGGGGGCCGGCTGGGACAGGATGCAAGGGCTCAGGCTGGAGCACTGTCACGCTGCCCAGGGAGGGGCTGAGGGGGCATCTGTTTCCTCTTGGCCATGGTTTTCCCTCAACTCTGTCCCCAGAGGAGGTGAAAATGGTGCTGGCTTCCTGAAGCAGAGCTTCCTGGGGATGGTGGGTGGAGGATGGACAGGTATCCATCAAAACATCCCGCATCCCTTCTCTCTCCCCTTGGAGCCTCGGGGAGCTTAAGCTAAGGCTTAAGGCATGGGGGCATATTCCTGTTGAAGCAGAGAGGTGAGGTCCTGGGACTCAGCACCAAGATCTAGCAGAAGGGAAAGCCAGGCTGGGCTCCCAGTGGGATGTGGCAGGGACCTATTCGGCTCAGGGGTGAGGTCTCCCCCAGGTACCTTTGTGGTTCAGGGGCAGAAGGTGGATTCAGAGAGGTGAGCACAGACGGCAAGTGGGAATGAAGGGAGAGATCAGAGAGGGTGAAGGGAGGAGCCTGGGAAGAGGTCTACTGTGAGGGGGGAGGAGGAACGGAGCTTTGGGACAAGGCAGTGGGGGTCACATCTTGAATCCAGGCCAGAGGGCTTTGGAAAGGAGAGCTGGACAGAGGAGAGGCCCAGGAATTGAGGAGAGGGGCCGCTGCCTAGGCTGACACCCACGCTCCAGCCCCAGATCCTGGTGGGGCAAATATTTACCCAGCAACAACGGTTGCTAAGCACGGAGGAAGGAGGAGGGAGGCCAGTAGCTGGAGGGCCTTCCAGGCTCCTCCCTATCCCTCACAAAAGACTGCAGGGAGAGGGTGAGCCAAACCGCTCCCCTCAGCCCTCCCTCCTCCCGCCCAGGCTCACTCCTACCCCTCCATGCACGCAGCTCTTGGGGTCACCTCTATCCACCCCCCACCCCCACCCCAGGCTGGCCACAGGCCAGGGGGCTGGGCTCAGGGGATTTAATCCCTCGGCTGCCAGGCTTTCCCCCACCCTAGGACAGTCCTGGGGGCTCAAACCTTGCAAAAGCCCCCCTTCCCAATGGGCTATTCAGTAGGAGCTGGAAAGGGGGGTGATCCAAGGAGTCAGGATATGTTGAGGAAGGGGTCACTGAAGGATGGAGTCCAGATGTCCAGGACTTAGGAGGTGGAAAGGAGGGGAAGGAGCCAGTCTGCCACTGTGAGGGGGCAGGACAGCAAAGGGGGGTCCTCAGGGGCACTCCCTGCTCAGGCCCCCAGGCAGAGAAGGAGGAGGGACAAAGGCGGGGAGGATGTGCTCGAAGGGAGCCAGATGTGGCCCATGTGATGTGGGCTGTTGCTGGCATGGGCACAGGGGGGCAGGATGTGCTGCCCTGCCAGGAAAGATTAGTCAGACGCCGGGAGGGAGAAGGGAGGGGGACAGCTAGTCCCAGACCCCCGTGAAGCAGACGGGCACTTTCAGGAAGAGCAGGAGGGCTCAGAACCTGCGAGGAGGCACTGGCAGGGCAGGGCCGCCCTCCTCATCCCTCTGTCCACCACCCTCAGGGCTCCCACCCACTGTCATGGCTGAGTTTAGGAGTCTGTGTGCAGGACAGGAATTGACACCCCTTCCCAGGGCACAAGACCTGTGCTGCGCACAGGACAGACATGCAGCACGTTCTTTCTTACCCACCTCCTTGGGGTGAGGTCTCTGTTCTGCAGGCTTCTCCCTGGGAGTCGGTGGGTTCTTACCCCCAGCCACAGGCCCCGTGGAAACTGGGGTACAGAAGTGGGAGGGGAGGGCACCGACAGGAAGCCGCTGGGGCAGAGAGGAGGTTCCTGGAGCCCACGCTCCCTGGTGCTGATGGTCGCTCCCAAGGGTCGCAGGGCTGGCCAGAGTGACTGCAGGCCCCATGGGTCCGCCCTGAAATGGGGTAGATGGAAGGCTGTTACTGGGCGATGGCAGCAGAGGACAGACTGAAGTCGCCCCAGGAGAGACTTCTCTGGGCCCCTCCAACAGGGACAGCATGGGCCCGGAGGGAGAGAGGGAAGGGATCCCCGGAGATGAAGCAGACCCGAAGGACTGGCCTGGGTGCAGTGGCGGTCAAGGTGAAACCTACAGACACAGAACCAGGAATCCCTGGAGAGCCAGGTCTAAGTTGGCAAGCAAAAGGCCGTTGTTTTCCCAAACTCCCATCGGAAAGTTTGAAAAATACACATGGAAACATGACTCACTGCCCCCTGCCCAGGCCCCCCTTTCCTGGTTTCTGTGATTTTTCTCCCAGGAGTTAATTCAAATCACATTCTCCCAGAAACCAAGTTTCACGAGGGAGGGCACAGAGCGGGCTGAGGGAGCAGAGAGGCGTGCAGGAGGAGCCTGGAAAGGGAGCGGCCAGGGCTGGGGCAGACAAGGACACAGTGACCGGCCGCTGCAGACCCCCGGACTGGGGCAGAACTCAAGTGCAAGTGGGAACATTCACGTTTCCACCATCGAACTGCCCTTCGGTCCAGAGAGCTTGCCTTCTGGCCTCCCCTTTGCAGCCTGTTCCCCAGGGCCACAGCTCAGTTCCCCAGGGCCAGAGGCCGGAAGGTGGGAGCGGAGCTCCCGGGAGCTCCCCTGCCCGCACCTCTTTTGGGTCAGAAACACGCATTCCCAGAGCAGGCACCCCGCACATCCTGCCCTGCGGGCTGGGGAGGATCCAGATAGGCCTGCCCCCCACGGGGTGTCTCTGGGCCAGGGATTCCCAGCCTGTCCCGGGAAGGCCAGGGAAAAGGCCTTCCCTGCAAGCACCCCCACCCGGGAGTGACCCGAGCCTCCGTACTGGCCGTCCCCCCACCCCCTGCATGTACCAGATGGAGTTCTGTGCATCTCCCTTGGCCACTGAGCCCCCACGTCCTGTGGACCCTGCCTCTAGAATCGCTCCCCGTTCCAGGTAACTGCCGGAGCCCCCGGGCCAGTCTCCCTGCCTCCACCCCTGCCTCTACACGACCCTTTCTCCTCCCCACACCACAGCCATCTTTCCAAAATGTAAAGCTTGGCATGTTTCCACAAAACTTCAAGTTACAGTGCACCCAACGTATCGGGGATAAAGTCCAAATTCCTTGAACTGGCTCATTAACGCCCTGGGTCCCCAGAGCCTCCTCACTTGCCCTCTAGATTCTAACAATCCTGACCTCTCTGCTGCTTCTAGGCTAACCTGCCTGAACTTGGCACAGGCTTTGCCCTCTGACCAACTCCTCCTCACCCTCTAGGCTCAGCTGAAAGTGCCACTGAGGCCGGGTTAGTTGTCCCCGCTAAGCCCCCAGCATCTCTTGTCACACGTAGTGACACTGTGGATGCCTCTGTTTATCCCCCAATGAGGGGAATTCCTTGAGGGGAGGGCTGGAGGGGTCCTGCCCGCCCCCCCCCTCCCCCCCGTACCCTCAGGCCCTGGCACAGTGGCTGACGCATGCTCCACCCACACTTGAGCCCAGCATGTCACCATACTCCTTCCTGAACCTGCACACCCCCCTCTTTACCGCATGCCCTGCAGCGAGGCGCCTCCCCACCCCCAGCCTGGCGGGTGTCGCTGTTTATAGAGCACTCACTGCGTCCGGGCCTGTTCTAGGTTCTTTCTGTTCATTGGCTAATTTGATTCCAAGCAAGAGCTAACGAAAGACATTAGCCTGAGACCCTGACTTGTCCGATGGGTCAGGACCAGTCGCTCTGGGAGCTTAGAACTCAGTAGTCACTGTGTGTAAAGGAGATGGGGTACATGCTAGGTGCTCAATAAATGCCTAGAGCAGGAGGAACAGTATAATTGCCCACCTTTGGACCAGGCTCTATCACTAGTGACGTTATCTCCAGGGAGGTGAACACAGCAGGTTACTATTCTCATTTTATAGAGGAGGACTCTGTCCAAGTGAGCGGGGAGGGACCTGCTTCCGGTGTGGGCAGGTGCACGTCCTGGGGCCTGCGTTGCTGTGGTGCAGGGCGGCAGGTGGGTGGTGGGGGGGCGCATTACTTGAGAGTGAGTGTTCAGGGGTCAGGGCTGCGGGGGAACCTTCCATCCAGTGCTCTCAACCCTCACTGGGCATCAGAATCACAAGACTGCCAGCACCCGACGTCTCAGATGTTTGGATTCCACACTCTGGGAATGGTCTGGGGTGGGACCTGGGGGCACGTCTCAGTAAACACCACTTCGGTCTGTCATTTTACAGATGAGGAAGCTGAGGTTGGGGACGGGGACTGTGCCAGAGGCTGACAGAGTGCTTTCGCGGCTGGGCCCTGTTCTAAGTAGCACAGGTGCCTTATTTACCTGGCCCTCCGCAGAGCGGGCTCAGTGAGGGGTTGTTATTATCAGCTCCGTTTTAAAGATGAGAAAACAAAGCCCCACGGGTTCAAGGTCACATAACCAGTAAGCGGTGCAGCTGGAATTCGGACCCCAGAGACCCAGTCGAAGCCCACACCCTGAACCGTGACCCCACCGCAGAGGAGCCAGGGGTGGGTCCAGGCCCAGATCCCACATCTCCTCTGGGCAGAAAAATGAGAAAGCCCCCAAGAGTGGGGAAACTGAGGCCAGAGGCACCAGATGGGAGGCCGAGAGGCTCCCGGCCCCCTCCCCCACAGGAGCAGAAAGGCTGGGCACGGGCCCACCCACGGGCCGCCTGCCTCCCTCCCTTCCCCAAGGGGAGCCCTGACCACCCCCGGCTGAGTTGTCACCCTTCCCCTGCTAAGTGATGCAGTGTCTTAAACGCTGAGCACAAGGAGGCAATTAAGTCCAATTAGGGAGGGAGAGCTAATTAGTGCTCAGCTTCCCACAGCCTCTGGGTACCTCCCCGGGTCTGGGGAACCTGCTACCCACCCCCCACCCCCAGGGGAGGAGACTGCTGCTCCTATAGAACACAGCAAAAATTCATACGCCCCTCCTTGCTCTCCTGAGGGGCAGGGGGCAGGCACCTTGCTCGTCCCCAGCCTCGGCCCTGCAGGGCGGCTCTGTCTCCCGGTCCCACAGGACATGACTTGCCTTCCCTGACGACCAAGAACATTCAGGGCACCCCGTAATTCCTCAGTGCTCCCCTGCCACCTCATGCACCCTCCCTGCAACCCTGGAGGTGGGTTAGCCCTGGGGCCCAAGGTCACACAGTCCACTTAGCTCCCCGACACTGACACCCCTGACGTGCAGGCGATGATCTCCCCTCCGTCGTCTGAGGTAACAAGGTAGAGAGCTGGGGCTAGGTTATGCCAACTAATCTGCCCTCTCTCCCTCTGTTCATCCATCCGCCTGACTCCGTTCTGAGACCCCAGTGCCATGTTCCAGAATATTCTTCCTGGGATCACAGAATGTAGTGTCAGGAGTTAGGGGGTCTAGTTTTCTCTTCCAGGGATTCACTCCGTGACCTTGGAAGAACTGCTTTCCTTCTTTGGGCCTCCGTTTTCTCATCTGCAAGACAAGAGGAGGCCTGGAATGGAAGAGCCCCAAGGCCCTAACAACCTCTGTCCCTGCCACTGCAGGTGGAGAGATGGGGACTGGCTGGGCTTCCCTCTTGCGTGCCATCAGGGCCTGGGGGCAGGAGAGGATACCCCTTTCATACTGAAATTGTGGGGGGCCCCCGTGGCTTAACAAGAATGAAACTGCCCTGCCAGCAACAGAGAGGCCAGGAACTCCCAGGCTCTAGCAGGGGCCCGGAGGGTAGAACAGGGGACAGATATGACGCCCTCCCAACTGTCCCTCTCGTCCCCAGAACCAGGGAACAGGGAAAGTGATGGGGGACGCTGGCTCGACCAGACCTGGGCACTGCTTTCTGGGGCTTGGAGGAGAGGGAGGGAGGCAGGATGCCCAGTCTCTGGCCCACCTCCAGCCAAGCACTGTGCCAGCCTCCCTCCCTATCAGTGTTGGGCTCACACAGGGCGGGGCAGGCAGGAAGGCCAAGGGAGCTGAAGGGCCCTCTCCCGTCTCGTCCTGGGTCTTAGCCACACTCTATCTCCCATGCCTCTGTTCCTCTCTTTCTGCTTTCTGGGTCTTCACAAGCACGGTCAGGGTGAGACTAGCCTGGGTTCTAATCCTCATGTCCCACCCATGTCATCCTGGCGCAGGTGACTGCTTCCTTTTCTCTAAAATGGGGTAACAGTAGGGGCCCCTGGGTGGCTCAGTCAGTTAAGCCTCCGACTTCAGCTCAGGTCGTGATCTCACAGTTCGTGAGTTCGAGCCCCGTGTCAGGCTCTGTGCTGACAGCTCCGAGCCTGGAACCTGCTTCGGATTCTGTCTCTCCCTGTCTCTCCCTCTCTCTCTGCTCCTCCCCTGCTCACATGCTGTCTCTCTCTCAAAAATAAATAAAGATTTAAAAAAAAATTGTTTTAATGGGGTAACAATAATTCTAGAGGGCCGCTGTGACCATCAGTGAGCTGTGCAAGTGCAGTGAGGAGCAGGGGCTCGGTGCCCCACCTGGCATCTTCCAGAGCCCAGGCCCTGGGGCCGTGCTCGGGGTGCGTGCGCTGAGCACCGAGAAGAAGCCACAGGGCATCCGGGCTGCAGCACCCAGTCCCTCCGAAACCTTCCCTTTCCTGTACTGAATCACTGCTCACAAGCCTGGGGACCCGGGCGTCCCCGGCTTGCCACAAACACTACCGTTGCCATAGAAACCGGGCCTCCCCCTTCCTCTCACTGATTGATTTCACCACATCGTCCCCCACGCTGTGTCTGGTTCCTGGATCTCAGTTTTTGACTCACCGACTGAATGCCCTCTCATTTCACGTCCCCACCGCACGGTCCGTGCCCTGAACCCCTCAGCCAGGCCCCTTTCCCCCGCATCTCCCCCCCCCCCCCCCCCGCCGGCCAAGTGAGGCCGGACGCCCCGAAGGAAATGTCTGTCCCTGAGCCCGCCAGCCGGGGCTCCTCAGCAAGGGCAGGGAGGTGGCCCCGGGCACAGCCCCGCGGGCGCTGGCGCCACCTGCTGGCCTCCCGACTGGTGCGCCGCGTCCTCCGGGCAGCCGGTGTCCACTCCCTCCCTCGCTCCTTCACCGGCGTTACCACCTGTGCCCCGGCGGGCTCGTGCCCTCGGGGACCACGCACGTGCAGTGAGCACCCCGAGCCAGGCCCCCCCTTCCCCCAGGCTGCATTCGGGAGGAAGGGATGACTAAGGTGAGCCCTGAGCATTTAGGAAGCACCTTCTGTGCACTAGACGCGGTGGGAGTTTACATGCCTCCTCCCACCCACCAGGCAACAACCCCGGGAGGTAACTGCTGCTATTATCTTCATTTTATAGATGGGGAAACAGGTTGAGAGAGAGAAGGAATTTGCAGAGGGCCCGCAGGCAGTAGGCACCTAGAGCCCGGCTCGGGGAACAGCCACACCCGGGGCTTCCACTGGGACAGCTGGGCAGAAAGGGAGCCGGAAGCGTGTGACAGAGGAAGCGACTGCAGGCAGGGGATCCACTGGCCGGTGACACAGGAGGAGAGGTGGGCAGAGGAGACGGGAGAGGGGCACCCAGTGGCGGGGGGCGGGAATAAAGAGTTTGGAGGAGGAGGGTGGGACCAGCAGGGTCAGGGGTTAGAGGTCAAGCAAGAGCAAAACTGAGCCTGGACACAGCCCCTGCTTCCAGGCAGCCCGGGCCAGGTCAGCGCAGTCGGGAAAGCGGGGCACACAAACACGGGGACCCGGCACAGTCTGATGTCAGGGCCTGGGCCAAGCAACCGGCCTTAAATCGTCTGCAAAGGCTGCTGGGGAGAGTCACAGAGAGCTGTCCGCCCGGAGGGCACGGAAGCGCCCTAGGATACTGGCAACCAGGGCACCAGGCGGCCCGGGTGCAAGCGTCCGGTTCCCGGGACTGGATCTAAGAGATAATTGGGGGTGCTGGGGGTGGCGACGAGGGCGGGGAGCAGCCTGCTCCCCTCCCCCCAGGCTCCCAACAGGGGCCCTCGTGCAAGGACGCGACCAGTGAGTGCCATGGAGGCTCGGGCCCTTCCAGGTCGGCCTGCAGTGGTGAGCCAGACGCGGCTTGCACCTGCTAGTGACAGCCCGTTGTTCACACCGCAGTCGGCCACGGCGACACAATTTACACCATGGGAATTGGCAGTTGCCACAAACACAGGCTCTTTCTCCCCTTGGTTGTTAAACATGTGCAGGCACGTCCTTGTTCCCTCGTTCTACGCTCTCTCGCCCCCACTTTACAGAAAACGGAACTGAGGCCCAAAGATGGAGACTGGCCTGTTCAGTAGCATAAAGTAACGTTCTTCCTTTTCTTCGCTCAGTCATTCACTCAACAAATCTTTACTGGGCGCTCCCCCACCCCCCGCCCCACACTAGGCTTCGGAGAGACGCGTCCCATCCTGGGGGGGGGAGGGGTGGCGCTTTCGGTCCGGGCGGCCTCCAGAACATGCTCTACGCTACGTTAACTAAGCGCTAAGGAAGGATTAAGTCCTGGGCGCACAGCTGACTCTGGAGGCGAAGCAGTCAGCGTGGTCGGGAAGGCTGACCGGGGCACAACGCCTCGGCTCAGCTCTGAAGGATGAGTGGGAGATCGCCGCAGGGAGTGGGGGAGAGGGGGCCCCAGGCCGAGGGAGCAGCAGCCACAGAGGCCTCGGGGGAGGACAGGAGCCTGGCAGGAGGATACGACCCACGTATACCTGGCACTCTCACAGCCTACTGTGTGCAAGACTCCTTTTACCAGCGGTGACCGAGGAGGTTACGTGATCAGAGGTCCGTTCTGAGCCAGCGTCTGAAGCCACACTGGTGGGTCAGTGCCATGACTGAGCTCCTGCCGTGTGTGAGCTCCGGGCTAGGTGCCAGAGGGGAGACCGGTGAAGGCACGTCCCAAAGCCCGTGTAGACGGCACCCCCTTGGAGATCAGATGAGGGAGGGCTGTGAGGGCCCCAGTGTGTGTGGCGGTGGGGGGGCGGGGGTAGAGCCGGGTATGGAGGGTGACAGGTAAGATGGAAAAGACGGAGACAGGTCGAATCTTTGGTGGGGGTGGAGGGGCGTGTGAATGAGCATGCCCAGCTTCCAAACAGCAGGCATTGAGAACCTACTGTGTGCCAGGCACGGGGCGCGGAGCTGGGAAACAGGAGTGGGCTAGAGGCAGTCCCTGTCCTCAGTGAGCGCCCAGTGGGCTGGGGAGCCATTATAATAGTGTGTGACAGGTGAGGGAGCCCCAAAGGGCCCCGAGGGAGATTCCCCAGGGAAAGTGACACTGCATTCCAGTCCTGCGAGATGAGCCAGCATTAGGGCTGCGAAGGGCGAGGGGATCACAGATGGCTCAGCACAGGCTGGGTGACCAGAACGCCCCTGAAGCAAGGCCAGTCTGTGGCTGGAGCGGAGAATGGACAGAGGGCAGGGCCGGATCGTGAACGGCGTTCTAAACACACGGAGGAGTTTGCTCTTGGATCTAATGGCCGTGGGGAGCTACTTCAGGGTTTAAAGAAGGAGTTTCAGGATCGGATTCGTTTTTAAAACGATCTCCCCGGCCACCATGTGGCGAGCGGTTGGGGGGCACCAAGGAGGCAGGAGTGGAGGAGGGAGAGCAGTGGGAGGTGGCTGCAGGCGGGGGTGAGGGGTTGGTGGGGGGGGGGGGCGCCAGCTTCGTCAGGAGGGTGGCAGCAGGGAGAGGAAGTCAGTGGGCTTGGGAAATGTCCAGAGGTGTCCAGGGAGGTCTGGTTGATGGGCTGGATGGGAGGAAGTCCAGGGAAGGTGGGAATCACAGCCGGCTCCAGATTTCCAGCCTGAACCACCCGGTGGGTTTACCGGAAGCAGGGAGCTGGCCGGGAGGGGCAGGTTGGGCCGTGTGGCAGGACCCAGTCCGAACACTCTGGGACTCCCGGCTCCCGGCCGGCACCTGTTTCCCCCATGGGGGCTGCCAGGAGAGGGCACGGAGAACGTGGGCCACAGGAAGGGAGCAGGGGGCAGAACGGCTGGAGCACGGGGAGCAAGACGATAGCGATGGCTACACAACGTCAGTGTTGATGACGTGCCGCTAAGTTCTCACGACGTGACCACCTCTTCCGAAGGAGCCGCCTCACGCCTTTCTACCCCATCTCCCGCTGGACGTGTCTACTGTCTGTCTCCCTCCCCCGCAGCGTATCCGCTCCGCGAGGGTGAGGCCTCCGTCTGTCTTACTCAGCGCTGTATCTCCAGTGCCCAGAACAGTGCCTGACACAGCCAGTGTCTGGTATATATTAGCTGGATTAAAATTAATAATAATTAACTCCTTGGTGGCTCAATCGTTTAGGCGTCTGACTCTTGATTTCAGCTCAGGTCACGATCTCACGGTCGTGGGTTCGAGCCCCGCGTCGGGTTCTGTGCTGACAGTGCGGAGCCTGCTTGGGATTCTCTCTCTCTCCCTCTCTCTCTGTCCCTCCCTCATGCTCTCTCTCTCAAAAATAAGTATATCAACTTAAAAAGAAAGAAAGAAAACCTCCTTATTAGGTACATATTATTATTATTTTTCCCCTTCAGAGTGAGGCCAGCTGGAGTCAAATGTCGGTTTCCTTGGCCTGTTCTTTGAACCGTGTCTCCCAGGGACTCAGGAGGGCAGGTGGGCACGAGGCCAGTTTTTTAAGCAGCTGGAGGGGGCTCAGGACAACCTGAGGAGCTGGTCTGACCAGCCTCAGCCACCTGGGTTTTCACCTTGAGTCGGGAACAGACTGGTCTCCCCTGTGCTGGATGCCCCGCCAGAAAAGGGCAGAGTGGAAGCCCCAGGTGACACCTGAGGAGGCGGGGCTGGGCGCCGAGCCCCAGCGGGCAGGGAAGAAACATCTGGGCCCCGTGTCCAAGTCTAGACCGGAGCGGCTCCCAGCAGTCGGCCTGCAGCGCCACCTCGTGGTCAAGGTTCAAAGACGCGTCTCCTCCACCTGCGTGCCCCACTCAAGACCCAGGCAAGCTGGCCACCTGCCCAACCAGCAGGCCTCCCTGGGCACCTCCGGCACCAACCTCCGGGCATCCCTCCAGTCCTCTCCCTTCAGATTAACCTCCCTCATCCCTCTGGGACTCCGGATCCTGTTCATCCAGGAAGCCTCTCCAAACTTCTCCAGCTTCAGTGATCACTCCCTGCTCAGTCTCCAGACACTCACTGGGTGTCACTATCTTAGCCCTGGGGTCCTAAGCTCTGGGGTCAGATAGACCCCTCTGAACACCGGAGGGTCCACTTACCAGCTGCGTGACCTGAGCAAATTATTTGACCTCCCTGAGCCTTAGGTCCTAATGTTAGGCAGAGGTGTGTTTCCAGCCTCACAGAGCGGTGAAGAGGGTTGAACGAGATCAAGTCTGCAAAGGCCAAGAAGAGGGCCCAGCAGTAAACAGGCAGTCAGCAAAGGGCAAGTCCATTCCCACCCCTCTCTCTGACTTCCTCTTCCCTTTCCTAAAAAAGAGAGCATGACAGGACAGAAGGCACAAGACAGTCATAGGACCTGGGTTCTCCTTCTCTGTAAAATGAGGCCATCGGATAATTGATGAATCTATTCGAATACTGATTGATTGATTGATTGATTCATTCATTCATTCATTCCACTTCCATTCCACCTGTGACATTCTACAGGATGAGTATGCCTTTTATGTCCATTCATTCATCCGTGCCAAGCTGTGTCTAATGCTCCAGTGTCCCCTGTTAGTATCTAGCACAGTTCCCGGCATGGAGAGGGCACTGGAAAAGTCCTTCCTCGATAACCTACCAAGGGCATGCTTGCTGTCGGGGGGGGGGGGGGGGGGGGGGGGGGGGGGGGGGGGGGGG